TGTGTGTGTGTGTGTGTGTGTGTGTGTGTGTGTGTGTGTGTGTGTGTGTGTGTGTGTGTTCCTGAGATCCAGCACACCTACTGTTGAAACCCACCCTTTAGAAGTACAATTAAAGTACAAGGCAGTGGCGTGTAGAGTATCCACGGGGTCAGGCACGTGTCGTCACCCCCTGCGCCAATTCCAGAAACCCTAGACCCCCTCCAGCCCTGACACCCTCGTCTGCTCGCTGTGCGTTTGGGTTTGCCTGGTCCAGTGTAACTGGAGGGCCAAAGGACGGAAAAGTCACTCGGGCCGAGTAGCGGAGTTGGAGGGGACAGGGCTCTAAAGCGGATAGGATGGTAGTACGGGGGCCTCGCCAAGTTTGGGAAGTGTCTGTGATCGGTGAGTTCCACCGAAGCCCTCACATGCTAACGCGGAGATGGGCCGGGTTTAACAGGGTCCGCATATAGGTCACCCAGGATAGACAGGGGCAGGACGCGTGGCGGGAGGTCCTTGGAGGGAGGGGTAGATTGAAGAATGGGAGACGGAGCCCGTGTTGAGATGTGTAATTTACCAGAAGGGCTCAGGCCTGCACGTCGGTTCCCTCGAGGTGAAAATTCAAGGGAGGAGTGTTAGCTGCTGAGGATGGCAAGTATGACTGTGGATTTCTAGAACAGTGATCCTACTTCGCAGTTTTCACCTTTAGTCGTCTGCAGTTCATACATAGCATGCCCGTTCTGCAGATGAAGAACCAAGATTGTAGAGGTTAAGGGTTTGTTAGTTTCCAGGGCTGGAGTAGAGGAGAGTAATTGATGACACAGAAGGAAACAATTAGTTGCAGCTGGCAATGCTGCAGAAAGGGACTCCACTCTTAAAGTTAAGTTTCTATTGTTAAGATAGATCAAGGGCCTTTTGGGGGGTTGCTTGTTTTGAATATGGAACAGTTCAAATACATGAAACGTAGGATAGTGTTGTCTACCTCCATATCCCCATTACCCAGCATCTTCAGTTAACTCCCCTGGACAGTTTTATTTCCTTCTGTATCCGGAGCCCTGGCATGGTTGCCCATTGGACTGCTAATGGCAAGGTCAGCAGTTTGAACCATCAGCCCCTCGGAGGGAGAGAGAGGAGGCTGTCTGCTCCAATAAAAATTAACAACCCTAGAAGCCCTCTATAGATAGGATTGATATGAGTCAGAACTGACTTGATGGTAGTGGTCTTTTGGGTTTAAAAGAAACTTATTTGAAAATAAATCGAAGGCATTTTAACAATGGTGTGGCTGAGTCATCTGACCTCTAACTTCACAAGCAAGAGTGAGAATCACCATCAATGATCTCCAGGCTGATGTCAATGAAAGCAAGGTCAGACTATGCCCCGTCTCCGCTTTCTACCGATTCTGCCCCAGTGTCTTTCCCTTCTCCCCCCCAGCACTCTGTTCTTTTGTATTTGTAGATTCCATGGAATAGGATGTGGTCCTCCTTGTGTGTTTGTTTTTGAGTGGGATGGGTGGTCTTGACATCTCTCTTCTACTGACAATGTTTTGGGATAGATTGCTGAATCTTAATAGGTGATTTTTTTCAGCTGACAGAAATGCAATTCGTCATCTTTCACTTAGGGTAGTTAATAATGGGAGCTAGAGAGGACTCTTCCACTGAAGGAGTATGTGTAATGAATACTCGGAGCTGCTGGGCATCCTGGTCCCACGCCTCAGAGGAGAGGCGGGACTCTTGGGCCCAGTGGGAGAGAGCAGTACCCTCAGTTCATTGTGACAAGAAGATGCCATTAAAGTAAGAAAAAACCCTCAGACAGACTGTGCTCCTGTGAGACTTGGACTTGAAGTCCCGTCTCAAGTTCTCCTCCCATGACCCAGCTGGACGTGGATGAGGGCTATTGGCCTGAAAAGCAGGGCAGTAAGATGGCCTGTCCCAGCCAGGCCGGAGAGACAGTGAAGGATTTCAAGAACTCTTCCAGTTGAGTACCCTGCTTTCTGATGGGGTTCCACTTTTCAGCTTAGCTGTGGAAGCCTTGAACTGCTCCTATGGGAAGGCCCTGACTCTCTAGTGGCAGTGTGCTGTAATGTACCATTTCTTAGTAACATAAAAATGAAATCAACCCATTACTTTTGAATAGATTTTGACTCATAGTGTGTGTGACCCTCTCATACAGAGTAGATTTGCTCCATAGAATTTTCTAGGACATAAATCTTTATAGGAATAGGGAACCTCATCTTGTTCCCACAGAACAGCTGATGGGTTTGAACTCTGGACCTCTCCATTAGCAGCCAGGTGCTTAATCCATGGATCTACCCGGATTCCTTAGTAAGTGGCATTAAACAAAGAAAAGCCTAACACATTGCTTTTGAGTTGATTCTGAGTGATAGTCACTCTATAGAGCAGCAGTTCTCAACATGTGTGTCACGACCCCTTTGGGGGTCCAGTGATCCTTTCACAGGGGTCACCTGGCAGCAGGGGTCCTCAAACTTTTAAAAAAGGGGGCCAGTTCACTGTCCCTCAGACCCATTGGAGGGCCGGACTATAGTTTAAAAAAACAAACTATGAACAGATTCCTATGCACACTGCACATATCTTATTTTGAAGTAAAAAACAAAATGGGGCAAAAACACTTGGTGGGCCGGATAAATGTCCTCGTCGGGCCGCAGTTTGAGGACCCCTGCCTAACACCATCAGAAAACACATTTCCATGGTCTTAGGAACCGAGACACCCTCCTCTGTCTCCAGGCGGGTCTGCCCACATGCAGATACGCCCACCTAGGAGTACCTGGCATGAAGACTGTTACCCATGCTACACCATGCTTCCAGACAAAATTTCATTTATTTGTAATTAGAAATAAATATTTCGCAATATATGATTACATATTGTTTTTGTGATTCATCACTATGCTTTAATTATGTTTAATTTGTAGCAATGAAAATACATCCTGCATATCAGATATTTACATGATGATTCATAACAGTACCAAAATTGCAGATATGAAGTAGCAACGAATATGATTTTATGGTTGGGGGTCACCACAACCTGAGGAACCGTATGACAGAGTCACGGCAGCCCGAGGAAGGTGGAGAACCACTGCTCTAGAGGGTCTTTGAGGAGCCACAGCCTCCTTTTTCTCTCCTGGGGCGGTTGGCAGTTTTGAACCGCTGCTGCCCTTAAAGCAGTTAGCAGCTGCGCATGTAATCACTGTGCCACCAGGGCCGTACTGCACACTGAGGACTCCTGCTTTTAGGTTTGTGCCCCCACTTCTTCGTGGAGCCCTAGTGTTTGTCAGGAGCTTGTAAGTTACCCTCAGGTTACTCTCCCTAGAAAAATAACGCCCAGCGAGTAGGATTGGGAACAGCTTTACAAATAGGCCTTTTGATGAGGCAGTTTGGTTAACACTGTCAGTGTTTTCTCTACTTTTCATCCTGGCGAAGGTCGTGCTCCAGCCTGACGGTGAAAGGCTTCCGTAGTTGTGTCTTTTGTCTGTTGTAAGTTTCCTCTTTTGATTCAGGATTGGTTCAGTTCCGGATCTTGACAATTCCTCTAGAAACCCTTCACCTTTCGAATACTTTCAAAGCCTTCTGTCAGGGTTAGATTTGGCTATGAATCATCGGGGCTTGAAAAGTAATCATTTAAACAAGTTATTCACTTGTTTCTCACGCCACAGAAGTCCAGAGGTAGTCGGTTCAGGGCTGGCCTGGTAGGGAGCCAGCCTCTCTTCAGCGCCCGTCTCCGTTACGCTATCCCCTGCTTTCTGGGTCCAGGATGGTTGTTGGACTACTAGCTCCAACAGTCTAACGGGAGCACCGGAGAAAGGGGCGAAAAAGTGGTGGTCCACTCTCTTCTTAAGAGGTGCTGTGTGACAGTTCATCATTAACCAGAACTTACTTACATGGCCATGATTCTGCCGGAGAAGTTGGGAAGGGCATCTTTTGGCGAGGACAGGGATGCACAAGCCACCCTACCAAGTTCTGAGGCTAAAATAGGAAAGGGCTGGAGAGGAGAGGTAGGCAGTTCGCATTCTCTGCCATACTTCAGAACTAACTGACGACTGAGCTTCACCTGCTCCTCACTCACGCACTGTCTTGTTAACAGATGTTTCGCATGCATGTCAGTAGGAAACTATCCTCCTAGGTTGCTCCTTGATGATGTACACCTGGCATTAACACACTTGAGGTGTGTGATGAGAATCACAGCCCTGGTGCCGCAGTGGTTGCACATTGGGCTGTGATCCACAAAATCAGTTGTTCGAAACCACCAGCCACTCTCTCTGGGAGAAAGGACTTTCTACTCCAGTAAGGTTACAGTCTTGTAAACTCAAAGGGCCTGTTTTGTCCTATAGGGGGCACCGTGTTATCAGTATTGATTTGATGACTGGTATTGGCTTAGTGTGGTGTAAGGTGTGTCAGTAGTTTGGCAGTTAGGAAATGATGTAATTTGGCAGCTGTGTAATGATATAATCATCTTCCATTTTGTGATCCGATGTGGCTATCCTCCATTTTTGCATCACACCGGTTTTCACTTACGACTCGGTCATCAACACGTACCCATGTCGATGTGTGAGGAGTGTATGTATGCAGTTCCCAAAATGCTGGATTTGAGTCCTACTTCTGTCACCTGCCTTAGGGGACCCCCAGGCATCTTATTCAACTTTTCTGAGCTTTAGTTTATCTATTTGTAAAATGGGGCTTTGCTCT